TTCCCCTACAGTTATTATAAAATAACAGAAAATTATATAAATTTTCTATAGACTTAGATATAGAATCATAACGTGTATAATCTCCTTTTGTTTGACATCTGTCACATTAATGACGTATTGAATGACGTATTGAATTGAATTTTGATTATCTATCACAACTGTCAACGTAACAAATACTAGCAAGTTTGTTTATTTGTATTTGTTTAATATAATTAAATATAAAATCATCATATATCAACCGTAATATATAACTAAATTATCAGTGACATAAATAATCATGGTTTACACCAGAAATAATTAATAGTCTCCAGTAATGCTGAAGTTTTATATTCATATCAGTAGCCAAGCTTACTTTCAAATTCAAGAATGAACAGAAGATTAGAAGTTTAACATTCTTATTGCAATTGTACTTGCAATAATATATACATACAGTACTAATTATCAAGAACATTCCTCAAATACGTGTGTGGTGAAGATTTCCCAATATGCTATCTATTTGATTCCTAACCTCTAATGTAAATTTATTAAAGAAGTGAATAATCAGTGTTAGTGTTTGTTTTATTAATATTTAAAGTAATTGTCCTAACTTGATATTAATAGGTTCATATCTCCTTGGATACAGCCCAACATATACAACTAACTCGATAATGAAATTTATAAAATACTAATATTATATTTTACTACTTGTATATCTCCATTCTATTCCCATAAATATTCAAAATATGTATATTAAATATAAATCCAATAAAGTTTCACTAATATTAACCCTGTCTAAACTTGTCTAGTCAATATAACATGAACAAACAACATACATACAAACCCCATCGCCAGGACAACTTCCTTTCTAAATATGAGCAAAATACATAACTTATACTTGTCATTTAGTACTAATTTTATACTGTGCCTCACACCTAGTTAAGAGTAATTATAGTCAGAGAATCCTTTAGTACTTTTATTACCACTAGGAAATAAATCCACACCTATAATATCAGCATAATTAAATATTATTAGTAATCAGTAATACACACAGAATTGTTATTATCAGCTTGCTTACTACAACAAAATCAATATTAAAGTTTATAATAAATCAAGACAAAATATCTATTTAAACAATACAGGCCTGTTTACCATAAACACCCCACAGTCACATGAATTTATCTAGTAACACAATTAATAATGTATTAAAAGTATTACATTCACATAATATCACTTGCAACAGTTAAGCTGTCTCTTTGTACATCTGGTGTAAAACAAATCCCCACATGTAGTCATGGATAATCAAATATAGACTAAGAATCATTAATCTGGTCGACCGAGTAATGGTATAAAAACACTTCACCATGAAGCGTTAAGTATGAACAGATATTCCAAACCAACACTGTAATAGTGTAATAAATACAAATATTTCATCATCATCATCGTCTCAACCATCACCAACCCACGACTGAACACAGGCAATTTCCACCGACTGACACAAGGAACGGCCCCACAATACACATAAAACAGTCACTCCAAACAATGGAGGTAGCCCACACCGCACTTGCATTTACAGGGTCGCCACTCAATAACCCCTCTCTCTCATCAATGGCTGTTTCCCCAGCAATGAGACCAGACCATAGTCACTTTAGTCTATTATCCTCAATAAATAAATACTTTATAATAACTAGATATGAAACTAGTTAGTATTGTAATAGTTCAATAGTTGAATCAATAAGTATTTTCCAAAACTGGACAATTAGAACATTGAATCAAATTGATGAAGTTCTATCAAACGACCATATAATTGAATTTTGTATATGAGTAGAATAACGTAAGTACGTAAATTATATTGATGTAAACTTTGTTCAAATGTGATTGCATTTAACGATATACGCATTACCTAAAGGTATATGGACTCGACTAAATACGTATTTTAATAGTTGTTGGGAAAAATATTAAGTATAGACTTTGCCTGTGATCACAGTCAAAAATCTAACTACGTAGTAATAAATGGAACAAGCTCACCGGATTCTCCAGTCTTCTATTGATTAATTTCACACACTTAATCGATAATGATACACTAAGATTTCAAACCCCTTCATCGATCCAGTCCCTCCTAGATCTATATCCTAGTTATTTTTTTATTTTCTTGCGCAGTTCCTTAAAACACGACTCCTGCGCCATTTTCTTTTTTTTTTTTTTTTTTCGCAATTCCTAAAAACCGACTCCCGCGCGCCCGCCGATCTGCCGTCTCTTTTTTTTTTTTTTTTTTTTTTCTCACCTAGTAACGTCATAGATTATGTCACCGAAGGGTAGATATTTCAATAATCGGATTTAGCCTATTATTCGAACTGAACTTTTCTTTAAATTCAATTTAATTATATGTTAACGTATTTTGGTATTTTCTATTAAATTGATTATCGAATTTATAAAACTTTAAAGGCTCTCATAAACCTTATTAAACTGTGTTATATGCATCCTTTTTACACCTGATGAGAAAAGGTAAACTATAATTTGGTTAATATAAAATATAATATATTTTTTTTTATTTATTTAATTTTCTTGTGACGTCTACTACACTCTGGAAACACATCAAAGGAGTTTCCCTTCTGTGTCAATATTTCATATATGGTAACGTCTTCTCTGTATACTATTGTGAACCTTGACTTTAAGTTTGTTTATATTAAATAGCTCAGCTTTCGCAGCGGTCACCCATAGGAACCCCTGTTTCTTTTTCTATGTACTTATGGTATTAAACCTATTGTACTATAGGCGAACCGTCACACTGTCAAGCATTCTCACGAGAGGACTATCTAATTTATTTACAAACATGTTCAGAATACTCTTGCCACTCCCGCATATTCTATGTAAGAACGAAGCTGTCTTTTTTCATAGTCGAGGGATGGGCAGTAACTTCTCTCTTTTAATATGTAATATTTTAGTCGATGTTTGATAAATTACGCTCGCTAACAGTAGATATTAAGTGCATGTTCATAGTTTTAAAATTTCTAATTTAATTGATTTATATGCATATCTTTAGAGAAATAAATGTCTTAAATTGTAATATCACCAAAACCTAACTGCGGTTACTAATCTGCCTGCCAAGCGTGATAATTACTGGCAAAGTCCAATAAGGAGAGGGTTTATATTTAGTAGTAAATATTTAACGATTGATATGATGATAATGATAGTTAAGTTCCTGAAGTACTAATTCAAAATCTGGTATAGATTTTATCTTAATACATTGTTTAGAAGTAAACTATTTAATTATTTTTCTTACTTTTGAAATCCATGTGTACGAAACAGGAGGCAAAGTGCTAGTCAAGTAGTTATAACAAACTCTATGTAATTTGTAATTTCTTGTTCTTAGATGTAATTCAATACTAAGTGAGAGCACAGCACAACTACGCAAAAATGCATACATGCAAAAGTAAGCATGTCTTTTCTTTCTACTTACTATGGTTATTAGTATTAATAAATTATTTAATAATTAATTATTATTTTTAATAATAGCAATTTGAATATCAGAAAATATATTGTTACGTTCATAATATTTCTATGGGTCGTCATCCTTGTAAACTAAGATGCTTCGAGCCCAAATTTGACTAACGTATGTAAACAAACAACTTTTTATATGCTACTAATAAAGTCAAACAAGCTAACGGCTTCCTAATAGAAAGTGGTAACCATCGCCTATAGACATGAACAGTATCATGAAAATAGGAGTAAGAATGTACTGTGTCGCCCTTTATACCGTCCATACATTACCATTCTTGAGGATTAAGGCTTCTGTACTCTGTAATTTCATATCTCACCCTTCAAACCGAAACACAGCTATGCAAAAACAACTGCTTCATGGAAGAAACAGGAATAGGCCAAACTAAATCGAAACAGCTTACAAGCACACTTGCTCTAGAAGTTAATGACGATAGAAGCATAAACGAGATAGAGCTACCCGTACTTAGCGTAGTTCTACCTCTCATACTATTCGTAGTATATTTAATTGTATTGTTCACAAAGGAACTATATAGTATGAACAAAGAAAAGCGGATATAGCTGTAACACCGTCGCATTTCCCAATACAAAAGCACAAAGGGATTCTTCGGCAGTTCCGTGCAATTTAATTAATGCTTCGGTCAATTTATTTGTGTAAAATACTAGTATGCGCTATTCCATTTTGTAATTTTGATTTTACTTAGAATTTTCTCCTTTCAGGTATGTTAATAATATCGCGACGCATTTCCTGCAGCATCATTTGAATATATTATTGCTTAATTTCACGGAAATATCTCTTCTTAATTTTATACTTTCGCTATGTTTACACAAATATTTTAAATACACAATCGGCGTCGGTAATACACAAGCAGGTATGTAGGTACTGTTTATCTGTAAAGGTGTTTACATCGCGTTAAGTCCCGATTGTGTATTTAAAATATCTCTACTTATTGTTCAGCTTTTTTTTTATTATATAAATAGTTAGTTTTTAACCTAATATTTCATACGCGTTAATTTCACAAGGATTAAAACAGATAAATAGACCACTAGATGGCGAATTAAAATAAAAAAAAATTAAGTCTTTTCAAAATTTAAAATTTAAAATTCAGGAACACAACTGTGAGAAAGGCATTAAATTTAATGCAGTTGTTTTTGCGTATGCAATAATAATAAAAATAATAATTCCAGGTTTATCCACCATAAGCCTTCCCAATAAGGGGAGTTTTGCCAGTGGTTGTCACGTTTGGCAGGCGGTTTGGCAACCATTGTTAGGCTTTTAAAGATATTTTAAGAGGGACGCTGCCTACGGGAAAGGAATGGCCCTTTTTATGCCGGGGCACACACGACGAATTTTTACTAATTGAGTACATTGTACTAATACTTTATTAGCAGTTAAATATGTACTATTTATTATTTCATCATTCAATTAAAATGAATACACAACGCACAGGTACCTGCATAGAATATAATATTTTAAAATTATATCAAATTTATTTGTTTATTTGAAATAAAACAACCAGTAGCTGTTAATGTCATTTTATTATTCTATGTGCTGAATAAATAAGTCTTATTACAAATGTCGCTTATAAATAAAAATAAATAAAGTCGACGGGCTCGCGCTTATAGTAATCAGTCTTTAGAAAATACAAGACCAGAAATTTTCTTAACAACAAGGTGGGGCAGTGTTCACGCAGTGTTTTAAATTGCCAGGACCTGAGGAAGATTTGAACATTGAACAAGGAAACATAAGTCCCCAGCAACTTAAAACAGTGCGACTGCGTTATATTTTTGCTAAATGTCAGACCGCCACGCACAAACTTATCACAGTTACAACGGATCAAGTCAGCGTGGCAATCTGACATTTAGCGGTATTATCTACTAAACGACGCCACTTGATCCACATTACGTCCACATGTCCAATTATGTATGAGCCGGTGGTATGGCCATGTCAGCCATGGCTTGGCCAAACATTTGGGGGCCATACATTTGCGGCATCGTGTACATTGGCATCGGCATCGACGGTGAGTAACTTAGTGGCGGGGGTGTTTGTAACCCGAATAGGATTCTGAAGTAGCGCGCGAGGTTCCATAAAACATTGGACGTCGCCGATAACCTGCACATAATACACAATAACAGTAAAATACAATAATACATTACAAATATCAATTCAAATATGTCTAAACAAATATTTAACTCGATAATACTAAAACAATATAGATAATTAGTAACCCCTTTACTATATATAACATATAAAAGGGATTTTTTATAACCATTGTTTTAAAGATTAAATCAAATCATCTATTGATTAGGTATTTAACAACATGACTTTTATTAGTAAAGGAGTTATTTTTTTTTTATGAAATATGAAATAAAATAATTTTAAAGTTATAAAATATATCTACAAAAAGTTTCTCCATAATTTATTTTCTTATAACCTTTTAATCTACAGATTTATGAGGGTCAAGTTACAAATTAAATTAAATACAAAAAGAATAAATTAAGACTATGGGGTGCCCATCTGTGAGGCTGTAGAAAAAGCTTAAAGTACAAGAATTCATTACAATATTGAATGAATACATGACAACATTAATATTAAGAATAAGATTATTTACATAATTTATATATTAAATTATAAATAACATGAAATATATTGAATATTACTATGCAAAACATTATGAAGGTATATTTTTTCTTTTAATTAATTACATTTAGTATTAAAAGAATTAAATAACAAAAAAATAATAAATTATCGAGCCAAAATATATATTAATTCTAAGATATAACACATTTTCATTGATATTTACAATATTTGAGTACTTGTGACTATGTACTCTAACTTTTTACATTTATATGACATACAATTGTCATTTACCACCACCAATATCAGTTTGTATATCTAAATGCTCATAAATGCCCACTAATATAAAAACTTAACTATAATTTACTACTTATTTAGCTACTACTATAATTATTTTATATTAAACATAATAAATTATTCTGGATAAAAAAATTCATTTAACATATCAAGACCCCATACTATTACTTTATAAGCAACACTATAATACAATGGTTTCTTTTTAGTTTCTTCTTTCATAACTGTTTTGGCATAGTCATTAGCTTTTTCTACAAAAGAATTTATTGTTTCAGAATTAAATATTAATGAAAGTAAATCAAGAAAACCTCTGCCACGTACCGTGTAAATGTCATTATCATAACTACTATTTCTAAATGATAAATTATAGTCGTTAGTTAAGCTTCTCTTTACTCTACTCTTAGTTGGTCTACTTTTAAACCGTTTTTTAAATTTATTTTGTTTATGTAAATTTGTGTTATTATTTTTAAGTTCGTTTGGTATTACTACAATCGGTCTCCATTCACTCGATTCAGTAGGTAATTGTTCTTTTACAAATAAATCTTTTGGCTTAAACTGTTCAATTTTATATGGTACAAGTCTACTATTATTTGGTCTAAATATATGAGGGTCGATGTAATATTTAATTCTGGGGTAATAGTAAGTGTGCGGATAATTGTATTTATATTTCTTTGTTTTCATATAATCATGCAAATCTTTATTTTGCTTGAGCCTTTCTAAGTTAACTTTTAACTCGGTATACTTTTTTGGTCTGGTTCTAACATTTTTTCTATACGTCATTTTTCTTTGTGCAATAAACCTAGGCTGCGGAACTAATATCTCTTTCGGTTTCTTGGACTCAGCCACCTCGGGCTCATAACTTTTTGTAGTTTGAACATCGGAATTCAAACCTCTAAACGAAGCTGGCATACTATAAAAGACATTAGCAATTGGGTCTATTAAATTCTTAATGCTTTCAATGACTGGTTCGAAGAATTTTAGTAACTTCGACTTACCATCCCATCTTTCAGCTGCTCTTGTTGAATTAACTAGGAGCGTAGGTGCCTGTTGCGATGATTGAGCACTGACATCATTGGGTTGCAACAATTCATGTGCATGAGGATGGGTTCCCAGAGCAGTAGGGTTATACATCTCTGGCGATCCGAATTGTGGGCTCACTCCGCTTACGGAATAAGCGTGGGAGGAGGCACTCGGGAAATCGATCGGATATTGTGAGTAAAGATATGGATGGTTTTGTAAACCGACGCTGGAACGCAAAGAAAGCCTATGTTTAAAAATTTAATTACATTGTAACATATGGTTGATATATTTTGCGAGTCATGAAATTATTTTATGGGTAAAGTCATCGTCTTTCGTCTTTTCGGATAAGTCATATGGTTTTCTTTCACTTGTCATGTCTTAATTGTTTCAGTCCAGCTTCTTAAGTATTTCTGAATACATCCAAATTAAATTTCGTGAAAAGAAAAATTGTACACAATTTTGAGTTTCAGTTAACTCAATCCGAATTAATCGCTGTCATATTTTTATTTTTTATTTATTTTACTCGTCAAATTTATATTTATTGCCTTTTTTAAATATGTTTCCAAACTTTAAAAAAATTAATTAGTGGATTACGTTTCAGTAATAATGGATTATTATTAGTAAAGCAATCAAGTATTCTAGTTGAAACAAAACTTCCGTTTTCCTTGTTCTACTAAATGTAGGAATAATATAATTCCTATCTCCTAAAATCCGTAAGCATTTCTTTTAAAATATTAAGTTACCAAGAAATTATTATATCCGTATAATTTTAGAATATACACAGGCAGAATAGAAGTAACTTCTATGTTATTTTAGTAGGTAACCTAACCTAATCTAAATTTAATTTAAAAAAAAATTAATATGTGGTGGGAAGAATGGGCAAAATAATCAGACGCTCTCACCAAGAATTAATACTCGAAGATTGAACCCATGAGCTATTTTAAGTATCATCAGTTAGAACCAGATCCTGAGAGAATGTAAAAATAATTTGACTAACTCCTTACTGTAACATGTTCTAACATCCTACAATTTTATAGTACCTTAAATTTACCCCATTCTTGTACAAAATTATTATTATCGTTATTAATATATTTAATCGCTCTTACTGAGGTTTTTTAATTTAAATCCACTAAGTTCAATTTAGCGTGTGTTAACATAAAACTATTTTAATTAAAAGACCGTTCATATTGTTTCCAAAATTTATAAATTTGTTTAATGGAGATTCTAGTAATCAATGAGATAGCAGTATAACCTTCTAAATATAATCATAAGGGCGTTAATTAGTAGTTATAGCTACTTCGAAAGTCTTACAAATATTACTATAAATTAGTCGTTCAAATAATCTCTTGTTTCAGCAAGTCTGCGTTTGTAATGGTCAAGTAAAGTCATCATCAAATATCTCCAGTGAAATCGCATTGTTTAAGAAAATTTCCAACAGAAATGCTTGTTAATGCGAAAGTGGTCGACGGAATTCGCACGAACAATACATGATGTTTGTAGCGGAATTGTTTATAAAAAATGTCATGCAACATTTAAATTGATTGGTCGAGTGGAAATTCTCTTCGTGGCACATACGTGTATTTACAATGCGTCGCTTTCTATACCACCAGTCAGTCAAAACATGCTACACTGTAAAATTTGCTTTTAATTATCGGAACAATAGTAAACAATATAAGATAGATAGTTTCAATAAAAGCAATTGTACATTACAATAATATAAAGCAAAATTCTATAGCTCAAGGAAGAATTCTACTAAATTGAATATTCTATTAAAACAAATATAATATTTACATCGAAAAATAAATTGTCTTTAACTGATCTATCGATCGTTATAGTAAGTACATAATTAAAGTTAATAGACAGATGTACATATGACTATAATATATACAATGTAATATTTACTCTGAATTCCATTCTAACAACAACCTATTCTTTAAATACGTAAAATATATTTTATCTATAACATAATAAAAAGTAAAATTAACTAACCCTATATCGTCAGTAATATCAGAATTAGATATGTACATTATAGTAATATGAATTCTGCCTTTTAATATTTAATGCATATTTATCTAAAAATGGTGAAATGAAAGATTTAACTCACCCATTGCCATAAGACTCGTAGAGTTTTTTAACAGCCATGCCTACGGTGACGACGAGGGCCAGTTTGCTAGCCACGAAAGCCTTCAGGGTTAATACAGTGACTATTGCCAAAGCAAATATCACGGCTCCGGCTGATTTCATACCAAATAACAGAGGTATTATTGCCTGAAGGACTTTTTTCTTGTGTCTTCCTGTAAGTAAAATGAAAAACATGATGTTAATAAAGTAATGACAATGTGACAAAGAATGAACATTGTTAAAAAATAAACAAAAAAAAAAAAGGTAAAAAAATATAATTTAACTTATTTAACGACCTCTGTAAAGATATTCTTAGTAAATTGATAATTGTTCATTTAAACAGGAGACTTTCTGAGACCTAAAGTATTATGCATCCGTCTTATATACCATATCACATGTCTGTTGCATTATAGAAATAAATAAGACAAGCTTGGCATTAAATTAAGTAAAAAAATGTCAAAACTCATTTCTTCACACAGGTCTTTACAAACTCTTAGTACCCATCATTTCGTCACCTAATTCAGAAAAAGATTCAGTTAAAAAGAAAGGACAAAAAACTCGACACTTACTTTTTTCAAATAAAATTTGATATTAAGTATATAGGAAATAATATACAAATAAAGGCAAATAGTTTTTTTTTTGTACAAAAAATGTATGTACATATATTTGTTCAGTTAGTATGAAGCGTGGAGCGTTCTTTTTTTGAATAGTCATGTTCAAGTCACAGATGCAAAATAGGCGCGAGAGACAAGTGAGAATTATACTGTATAGAAAATTACTTCTACTATTTAATACCTATACCTATACTGTATTGTAAATTCTAAAGGAACACGTTAACTATGCAACTTTCTGATATCGTTTGACGATCAATTGATAACGATAAAATATTTCTGTGTTAGATTATTTTACAAATCTGCTCGCATAAAATAAAGTACTCAGATTATGGAATATGAACTTTATGTCCATGACTTAAGTGTTTATTTAGTAGTTGCGTATTTTATGTCTACAATCTTAATGGCTACTATTGTTTTCTTTAGTGATGGTCGAACGCCGATGAATGTCGGATCGACTAGCGTTAATCGATGAAAGTATCCGATTCCATGGTGTTCTAGATTTTTTCCTCGACCGTCATTTCCTTATTTGAATTTGATTTGAGAATAATAATCATTATGTTTCTATATGCCAATCATTCAGTGATTGTTCACTTTTGTCGTATCTTTATTAGTAACAGAGAAAGTAACAACTCTGGATAGGTACAATTGTCGTCTTAATTAATATTTAAATGCTATTTGCTAGCTTTAATCCGCGACTTTGTTCGCATAACTGGGATTCATTCACGGATTCACTGACCAGGATTAAATTTAGCCTATGGCCTTTTCCATACCATAAAGTACATGTATACCTAATTACATAGTGATTGATTAAACTGTTAAGGGGTTAACTACGTACGGGGTTAAGGGCAACAAACGGATTGACTTTCACATTAATAATATTAATAAGTAATGCTTTAATTTATATGTATCTCCTCATGTTATAGTGGATCATTTACAGTTCATGCGACTAGACTCTCCTCCACTACATATCTGCGAAATTCTGTCGCTGAATATTTTCATCTCATAAAGTTATTACGTTTATATATGTATATGTACGCATTATGTAACACTTAACAAATGTTAAGTGTTACAGCTACAAGTATGTTAAAAATAAAGGTCGACATATCCACATTGTATAGTGAATAATTGAAACCAACATGGCAGTAGGTCCTACCACCATCACATATATGTACCAATGCAATCAAATAATGTTAATGTGAATAAATAACCTATATATATATATTTAGGACATATTTAATCTGTATGCCAAAAATTATTCAAATTTTGCCATTTGAATAACAAATATCCAAATTATTTTACAAACTTCGCAAATATATCGGAAAGTGACGTTAATATTTTTGTTGATTCCACAAGTCGCAAATCATGAAGTTTAAAATTCAAACGATTGTTTACTTACATGCTTCGGATTCGAATATATTTGGGTGCAATGTATAATCGAACGATTATCCGATTAATATGTAAATAGTAATTTATTATGATTATGGAATTACTTTACTAAACTTGTATAAATTTATAATTTGAAATCCTTAACTGTAAGTTATACAGTCAAATATTTTCAAAATATTTAAAGTGGTAATTATGTTTATTAATTTGCCTAATTATTTATTTATTATTTATTGTACACAAAAATTACAACATATAATATATATAAAATAAAGATGTACAACAGGCGATCTTAACTCTGTAAGAGTTCTCTTCCAGCAAACCCTGAGTGGAAAGGAGCATTAATTACTAGCGGGCAGTATGCGTACAATAATAGAAGGAAACATTATAGATGTTTCTATTAAAAATAATAAAGTTAATTAAGTAGAAAGTAAAGTTAATTGTATAGTTATAATTTTTATACTAGCGTTTATGTCCGCGTGGCCGGGACATGTATTAAAATACTATAATAATGTATTAAAAATAGCTATTTTCCTCTCCATCTCATATAATATGTGTATACCAAATTTTATAGTAATTAAGTTATTAAAGCTCTATGAGGTAACAGATAAACAAGCTGACTTTCATATTTATAATATTAATAAGTAAGGATTTATGACAGCTTGTTTAGATTACTTATTGTTCACAGTAATTGTGTATTTTAACTCTGCGCATTTATAGATAAGGAATAATGCATTTATAATGCGTGAAAAGAAGAAGGTTATTGAGAGATTGTTAAAAAAAAAATTAAGACTAAATATATATTTCGATATGTTAGAATAGATTGTTTAAAAATGTAAACCTGACCTAGTTATTATTTTCATAAATCCATAAGAGATACACTAATTAATGTAATTAAATATTCCTATTTGTGTGAAAAGATTGATGAATGTGTAGGAAGCGAACGAGGCTTGTTTGAATCGAAGCATTTGGCGTTCCATTGTTTCTGACTACCCTAATGGGAGATAGGCGTGCCAGATATATATGTATATTCTTAATTAATAAATTTTATTACAGGGGAAAAGGGATTATTATTAATGGAGATTAAGGGCCCAATTATTAGTAAATATAGCCTGTCAGATTGACGCTTGCGGTTCCTTGGGATCCTTGCGGTTTCTTCTGGAAACCATTTCCTTCCTAACAAATTCATTACGATGGTTTAACTGACCTGACATCCTCACCTATCATCTCTCACTGGTGCTACGCCAGCTTATAACGATAGAACAGGTGGGGTTACATTACATAAAATTTGTATCACTGCGACACACTTGGTGAAAACATATTTTCATATTTGATATTGTTCTTTTTTTTCTTGTATATTTTTTTTTTATATATTTTAAAATTAGAATCTGAATGATTTGTAATTATATTAAATTGTCTTCTACGTATAATTTTGAATTGTTTATGTACTTAAATATTTTTCTGTATGTACTGTACTGCATGTAATTTTGTTTTAGACGTTTAGTCTATAGGCTTATATAGGCTATATTCTAAGCATTTGTATTTATTTATATACATGTTTGTCATATAGTTTTTTCTTTTAATGAATGATTATAGATTAGTAACCCCGCTTGTGCTATCGGTATATGCTGGCGGGGCACCAGTAAAGGATGACAGGTGAGAATGAAAGCAGGTCAGTTGGCCCATTGTGACGAATTCCACAAGAATTAATCATGGTTCCAGGGGATTGGGGGGACCATCGATAGTTTCCAAGGGGAACCGCGTGGAGGACCTGATAGGGTATATTGCTAGCAATGGGGCCGTTGAACCTCATTACTAACAATCCAGAGGGAGACTTTGTACAAAAGTCGATTGCTTGGGTACCCCTGTCCCATTCGTGTTTCAACCAAGAAGCAGTTGTGTTTGCATGGCTGTGTTTCGGTTTGAGGGGTGGGATATGGCGTGAATTTACTGGGTACAGAGGAATAACATCTGAGTCCTCAGGAATGGCAACGCATGGGAGGTATCATGGGCGAAACAGTATACTCTGTTATGTCCATGGTACTGCTCATGTCTATAGGCGACGGTTACCACTATCCACCAGGTGGGCCGTCAGCTTGTTTGCCATTCTAAGTTGTATAAAAAAAATCCCTTCCCCTCTTGCCATATGGTCACGGCATAAAATACGCCACCCCTTCTTTTCCCGTGGATGTCGTTAGAGACGACTAAGGGAACTTATGGTTGAGAGTTGGGCAACAGTGTCTCTCTTAAAACCACCAAAGACATGGAAACTACTAGATCTCCCTACCCCTTATAAAAGAGGCCTGTGTTGCTAAATGGACAATTAACGGCTGATATAATAATAATAATTATAATATGTTATAAATAAAAACTTTGAACAGTACTACTAAATTTATTCTGGATATCTTATGCATGTACCAATGTTGCTAAATTGAGTAATTTTTAGCAATTTTGAGTAAAAATTTTTCTGTTAGTGAAGTTATGGGAGAAAACTGAAATGAGCTCGGTGAAATTTGGTTAAATTTCTTGGCAGTTTTGGTACTTGTTAACATAACAATGATATGTCAAACATATACATAAAGATAGCAAAAGATGAGATAAAACAAGCAAGTCATCGGTGACAAATTTACTAGGAATTGTTAACGATAGTTCCCACGGGGGACCGCGCAATGGTCGACCGGACACGGTATATTACTTAGTAATGGGTTTGCTGGTCCACATTAGTAACAATCCTTTTCTCCTTACGTATTATAACTACTTGGCAAATAATGGACTTTATAGATATATTTTTTGTAAATATACCCATATTACATGTACATTACTTAGAAAACATTCGAGTGAAACATATTTCTACGTAAAAATATATTTCTCAAGAGGTTCCCGGTGTAAGTAAAGTAATAAATATACTACATCTGGCTTTCATAGAAAGGAGACATTACCTTTTATCAGCTATTAGATTGTGAAAGAGAAACAGAACAAATAAACTGAAAAATGTACTCAATTACAAGCTAAATATAAATCATAATCAAAAAACGTCAGGATTTTGTATTCAAAGTAAAAATAAAACCATCAAAACTAAGATTTGTTGTTCCATTTATATTCGCTTAACTGTTTCTGTCAGGAGAGTGACAGAATCCTGTACTTGAAACCAGTTTGGTATTTTCTCACTTTGATTT